GCGGGAGCACCCCCGTGGGCAGAGGGGCGCCCCCCGGGGCCCCGGCGCGCGGCGGAAGGAGTGGCGCGCTCGCCGCGAGAGCCGGGGCGCCGGGCCCACGCCCGCCACAGCCCGGAGGAGAGGTGTTTTCGGGGCGCTCCCCCAGGCTGCTCTTGCGCGGGATGCAAACGCACGCGCGCACGCTCCCCTCTCTGCGCCCTCCGTGCCTACAGTCTTCTCGCGCCTCACCTTCACTGAGTCTACCGGGTACATGACCGAGTGCTCCAGGATCCCGGCCATCGCTCCGGCTGTCATGTGGGTGGATAAGGAGGCGCTGGTCGGCAGGTTCTCATAGTCCTCCGACCCGCCGTCCTTGCAGCCGCCGCCGCCGCCGCCATCTCGGCTGTCCCCATCCATCCTGCGCCCCACAGCCTGGCTCCCTACGCCGCCGCGGCGCAGCTCCATCCGCCAGCTCCGCGGGGCGCGGGAGGCTGCAGGAGGTGGGCAGGGAGGGGGAGGGGGCGAAAAACTTCACTTCTTAAAGTGGGAACCACCTCCCCGGTTTTGCGGCGCCTGACGCCATGGCGGGCTGGGGTGGAGCAAAGGGGCCCCAGACACCAATCGCTGGAAAAGAAGAGGCCAGCCGCGGCCCCGCCATTGGTGTACGGGATAGTGGGGACCCGCCTTCCTGTGTGACGTCACTGTCCAGTGCAAATTTCCAAGCAACCGGACGGGGGCGAGAGAAGACATGGGGGTGTCCCGGGAAGTTGTACTACCTCCAGGGTGCTGCTGCTGCTGCTGCTGCTGCTGCTGCTGCTGCCCTTGGGGCGGGCGGGGCGGAGGGGGGCGGGTGGTCACTGGGCAGCGTCAGCCGGACCGCAAGAGGGACGTGCCCAGGGCTGAAGGGAGATCAGGAACAACGGGCAATCTTCCCCCAGAGCCCGGAGTTTTGCAAACAGTGTTACTCAGCACGCGTTGGCATTCCTAAGGCCTGGAGTGGGGGCAGTTCCTGTGGATGCCATCTATGGAGCAGTTATGATGGCCGGATGGGGGGGGGGGGCACCCGGGGCGGGGGTGTGTGTGTGTGTGTGGAGTGAAGTTCTAGAAATGAGGACGCACTGCGCGGTGTCACTGGAGCACCACCTCCTTTTGTGCAACACGAGGGCATATACCGTGGAGGTGACAGAGTTTAGACTCAAGGGCCTGTGCTAAGCTGCTTTGTTGGGGAGAGCGCCCATTTCATCAAAAATTTTTCTCTCACTGAAACACGTAATATAGAGGTAAATTTGTTCTCTTATTCTCACGAAGAGGCTAACGCCACCTTGCCCTGGACTGATCAAGGCATGGGTAGTCATCAGAACGCCTTTCAGCACGTTTTCCTCAAGACTGACAGGCCTGGAAGGTCTTTAGAGGCTGATCTCTGGGTGGGGTGCAGAGGGGCCCCGAGTAATATCTTGCAGCATCGCGTCTACCTGCCTTTTAAGACTCTGCTCTCCTGGTTCTTAAACTCATCCGAAACGGACTCCTTCAAGTGTAACCAGGCTGCTTTATTTCAACCTAAACAATGTTGTCTTGCTCTGTCTGGGAGAAGGGGAGGAATCAGAGAGTAGGAGAATGACCTGTCTTTGGAAGCCTCCATGAAAGCATGGCATCTGCATATCTAAATGTGCTCATTCTGGGGCTTAAGACCTGGCACTTGTGAAGCACCAGACACCTTATCCCGGGAAGCCTTCTGGTCAGGAAAGCTGTGCCTTGAGAGATAGGAAAGGGTGGGGGAGATCCTGAAGATCTGCACCGACTCTGCCCTCACCCTGGTTCCAAGATTCAGGTCACAGCAACCCAGCCCCCCCCCCCCCAGGGGTTTTAGGTACAGCGATGTGAGTATTGTCAATTAAGACTTCAAGGCCAAGGGCACCAGTTTCCCATTTTGGGTAGCAGCCAGTAGTAGCCCCCAAGATGAGTGCTAAGGATGTCATAGGTAGAAGAAGCAAGCTCTTTGTTGAGTGATCGCCAAAAAAAAAATTGTTTTTACTGTAGGTGATTTTAAAGAAACGTTCATCAAAAGCTGTTGATACTCATTTAAAAATGATACTTTTGGGGACGCCTGGGTGGCTCAGTCGGTTGAATGACCAACTCTTGATTTCCGCTCAGGTCATGATCCCTGGGTCCGGGGATCGAGCCCCATGTCAGGCTCTGTGCTGTGGAGCCTGCTTAAGATTCCTTCTCTCTGCTCCTCTCCCCTGCTCATGTTCTCTCGCGCTCTCTCTCTGAAATAAAATTAATTTTTTAAAAGAATTTTAAATGATACTTTTTAACCAATACATATTTTTGACCCACTGTCCCTTCTGGCAATGTGCCACAAAAGTTTAAATATGCGTAAGCTCCCCTTCAAAATATTATTTATAGTACTAAATAATTGGAAACAACTGAAATGTTCCACTAGAGAGGAATGGATGAGTAAACTATAATTTGTATCTTAGTGGACTATTATGGGACCATTAAAAATTGTGGTTACATTACACCATAAGATGAGAAGCGATTATGATACAATGTTGAGTGAAGAAACAAAACAAAATTATATAAAGATGACATTTACAAAGATGTAAATATGCACATGGACTGAGTGAAGTGGTCATTGTGATAGTGACGTAGGATTATAGGTATTTTTACTGTATTTTTCAGACCTAAATAATGCTTTTTATTATCTCTATAACTTAAAAAGTGGAAAGAACGAAACTAGATCACTCTCTTTTAGGAGACAGTCTCCTAGTGGATGAGAAGCCTTCTGAACTTGGCAATGGTGATGCTGGTGGAGAGAAGCCACCCTCTGGATGATTAAGAGGAATCTTGGCAAATGTGGACATGCCCATAGTTTTCAGAGACACCAGACTTTTTTTTCTTTGAACTTTTTTTTTAATTTTATTTTTAATTTAATTTAATTTTATTAAATTTTTTCAAATGTTTTATTTATTTTTGAGAGAAAGAGAAAGAGAGAGAGAGAGACAGAGCATGAGTGGGGGAGGAGCAGAGAGAGAGGGAGACACAGAATCCGAAACAGGCTCCAGGCTCTGAGCTGTCAGCACGGAGCCTGACACGGGGCTCAAACTCACAAACCGTGAGATCATGACCTGAGCCGAAGCTGGACGCTCAACTGACTGAGCCACCCAGGTGCCCCTATTTTTTATATTTTAAAATTTATATCCAAATTAGTTAGCCTATAGTGAAACAATGATTTCAGGAGTAGATTCCTTAATGCCCCTAACCCATTTAGCCCATCCCCCCCCCACAACCCCTCCAGTAACCCTCAGTTTGTTCTCCATATTTATGAGTCTCTTCTGTTTTGTCCCACTCCCTGTTTTTATATTATTTTTGTTTCCCTTCCCTTATGTGCATCAGTTTTGCAGAGACACCAGACTTTTTAAAATGTCATTAAATAAATGTTAAGCTAGAGCCATTTAGAGAATCTGGAAAATTTACTATAAGTATTCAATACTTTTTCTCATCATGTAAGGAAGATATGGTGGTTTGGCACTTAGCATCCATCTTAAACTCCTTCTTGTACTGCAGTGGCCAGAAATTTTTAAACCACATTTATCAGACCCTTGCAGCTAGGAGGCCAGATGTGAGTTTGATTCTGCTAATTAGATGAACTGGAGAGATCTGGGAGGCAGTAAGGAGGCAAAAGTCACCTTCCTGCTTCTTTGATGCTTTCTGATGCCTTGCGAGGTCATAAATGCTCCGGCCAGGAGCAGCTGGGGTGGGCAATGGCTTTCCTCTTGCAACAGCACGCCAGTGTCTGGTCACCGGATCCATGGATGTCAAATAGCAATTGTGGCAATGGGAGTGGCAGCAGGAATGATCCCTGAACCATAGCTCCCGTAAGTGGCCTTCCTCACTTACCAACACATGGTGGAGATTCCCTTGGGAAGCCAGTTAGGCAATGTGGATCTGAGGGTTCTCCCTGGAGGCCCAGCCTTGGTTTCAGCTCTAACAATATTGTATATACTAGCAAAAGGGTCTGATAATGAAGGAGCCATTCCTGGATGTCAGAATATAGACACCAGCCCTGGTCCTAGACCGCCGTGAAGGCTTGTTTAGAGGGAGTTGACATCCCAGATGCCATCACCCAGTGCTTTGGCCACCACTGTCAACAAAGAGGGAGCATAGGGACCTGGGAGCAGAGCAGTGATCCTGTCCTGTAGGGTGGGCCTGGAGACTCAAAATGACACGCCGACTCCACTGGATTCTTACATAAAGTTCCTGAGTCTTGAAGTTCTAAGGATGTCATCATACTGCCCTGACCTAACTGGGATCCAAGCTCCATTTAGAAAGGGGAAGCCACAGAGGCTGTATGGTGAAGAGCACGTCATGGATCTGTGTGGCTCTTGCCCACTGGTCGGCATGCTTCATGTCTACTTAACACGTGGCAAATGAAACACAGACAAAAATAAA